TCTAGTATTTGGATATGTTTCGCCACATGAGCTGTGTGTCCTTTTGGCATTCTCACACATTCCACGCGTTAACTACTACTCCTTACAAATGATTACAGTTGAGATACTAATGAACTACCAGTCAGAGTGAAGGTCAGTGGAGCCCTTAGAAAAACGATTTCTAGTAGATCTCAGAGTTCAGTACAGAATTCTATCGACTAACACTTGCTACAGCATGTTCCTTGCATAAGCTATCGGCTAATTACAAGAAATATGGATTCAGGATTATGTGCAGCACAATATATAATCAGAAAGAAAGCGAAAGAAACCTTTACGAGCTCTACTGGCCTACTGAAGTGATGCATACGATTTTATAAAACACACACCTTCCGTCCGTTATGCGGTAATCGGCCTCATAGGACAAATATATAAAACAAAATTATAGAGTCAATGCAGAGAAGTGATCTATACAACACCAACTCACTGTTTATTTGAGATATAAATAAGCATTATACTTCTTCTCATGCCCGTTTAATATAGATTGTCCACTACAAGTTACTGTGAACTTCGAAGAACTTCAGAAGTTCTACCAACAGCATCAATGCCTTAGTTCACTGCAATCGCTACTCATCATTCAAAAAAACTGCTGAACGGTACGACTCTGGCTGATTACAGAATTTACGCAAAAGCTGCCGAGAGTTGACAAATTTGCCGCAAATCTTTGGAAAAAAAAAAGAACACAAAACTCCCAACTCACTTCAATCCATCCCATCGAAATCGAATAGTGCAAAATGAGCGTCCAAATTAGTCCGAGGATGAGCTTCTTATTCTGATCCACAATATGTGAACTATCTAAGCAAAACGATCTCGGAGTTATGGCAAAGGACTCAGCAGAGATTACGGAATCGATCATCTCAGTTCGCCTCTCGAGCATAGCATTTGGTCAGTTGCGCAACCTATTTCGCAACATCCGTTCATCGCCTCGGCAAACTTCATTTTGTGTAAACAAACAATGATGACCTAATTAGAAAGGGCAACAAATCCTAAACAAATGTATCTGCAGTCCAACACGAAAGTTCTTCCCATTACGTAATGGACCGCTACTCATAATTAAGACTGTCTTTGTAATTTGAAGTGTAGTAAGAATCGGAAACAACTTCAAGGGAGCCGGCCGCCTGTATGGGTGAAACGCGAATTCAACTCCCGCGTGGGGCCAAGGGTTTTGCAAATTATTCAACATACCTCGATATATGCATATATACACGTACTTATATATACATTTACACATGCATAAAAGGATAAAGGATAAAGCTCTCGGCGTTGATCAATCCTAGAGGGATGCGCCATGCAATCGTCTTCAATTTCTACTTCGTTCGAGGTTATTGAATGCATATCTGGCCTTTACAATGACTCGCGGTGGCCTCCCGCTGGAACCGAGTCAGTGCTGCTTGTCCTCCCACACAGGTCTAAGACCAGTCTGGTTTACTGACCCCGGAGGGATGAATAGCTTGGTGAGCCATGAGCGCGAGATTGAACCATTGACCTCGTGTGCGACGCAGGGCACCTCTAAATACTGCGCCACATGCGCTCTTACACATGCATATATTCATATATACATATATATATATATACATATATACATAATATATATGCACAGTATGTATACACATGCATATACGAACGAAAGAGCGTTTATGAAAGTCTCCTTTCTTTAAAGTTTCTAGTTTGTACTCTGAGTGCCTGAAGTTCTAGTACAAAAAGTCCGCAGATTCCTTTATCTCATCTCATCTCCTTGCTCAGACAAACGGCATTGGGCCGAATAGGACAATCAAGACTTGGTTGAAGAGAGAAATTGAAGACGCTGGCATACTTGTCTATACTTGTCTAGCATAATTAATAACCAAATGCTATGTTTGAAAGAGGGACCGACATGGTACTTTATAAAGATTTATGGCACTTGTCTGTTATAAGGTGACAAATAAAGACTCGACCTATTTTGTTGGACAAGAACTTTTCATTAGTGTTAGCAATCATTCGGAATCTTAAATCTCTGCTTACTGCGCTACGCAGCCGTTTCCTATAAGAAAACCCTTAACACAGTGCAGTAACATTCAATATTAAATTGATTTGCTACGGCCGCGAGCTTCTACTATTACTTCGCTGGAAGCATGCAAAGTGTATGGTCGTGTAGAAGAGATCTCGTAGTACCAATGTTATACGTTTAAACTGGAGTTTCTTTCAAAGCGGTGAAAAAACCTTAACTCAAATAACAAAAATTGCACTTCATATTAGCCAGGGATTTGAGCTTTTGAGTGATTACTAACACCCTTATGAATAGTTCATGTCGAGCGAAAGGGGTCTGATCTTCATCTGTCGCCTTATAACAGACAAATACCAGAGTTTTTTGGTAAAATATCAAAATCAGCACAGTGAGGAGTTCTCTCTATGTCTTTGCCTTTGAGGATCAAATAGTAAGACACCTACCTATGTTTACAATCTTGATATGCTCAATATCTTGAAAAAATCTCAACGCAAGTGAGACATTTTCTAGCTTCTGTGAACGAAAATTGACCTGAGAATGGGGACGTTAAACAATGGAATTATTGGAAGTATAGAGACCTCTACCTTTTTGTTAAAACGTCCAACGTTTTTCTGAGAAAGTACGGCAGCAAGACTAATCAGCTTTAGGCCATCGGAGAAATCTGTTTCCTAAATGAATCGCATGCAGCTCAATAAGCAATATGATCTATAATATTGACACCGTCTTTCACATAAACAACAGCGAACACCTCTCAGAACCCTTCTAAAGAGATTTTAAAATGTTGAATTCTTGAAAGAGAGGAAGCTTGCGAAATATGTTTTGAGAAAAGGTCTAAACAACGGGGAAAAATGGGCAGGAATAATTTAGATGAGATCCAAGGAAAACAAGCGTTACCAGGTTTTTTATAGAATCTCCAGCCTTTTTCAGATGGTTGTTCACCCATCGAGTAAACGTGTTCTGCTGAATAATCTTCCATTCCGCATCATCGAGTCGTATTGCAGGAATCACCTAAGATGTAGTTTGTAGAGAAAAAATTTTCAGAAGAAAGTTAAAAGCAATCTATGAAATTTCCAACAAAAATGAACGCTAATAGTTTAACTTCTTGGAAAAGTAGAAGAAAAAAAAAAAAAACAAGGAAAGAACACTAGCGTGGTAATTTAGTATCCTCAAAGAAGGAGGAAAAAAGACAAGATTTTTATTTACTTGCAAAGAATTTATTTCGTGGTCTTTTTAAAATGTGCTTTGTCATTCAAAGCTCGTGATCACGAGATTCTAAATATGGAAGTCATTTTGATTTTTTTTTCTACTTGTACAAAAATTTTTCACTAGGTTGGAAAGCTTCGTCTTATTTTTCTTCACTTTTGTTTTTACAAAATATGTACTTCTCGTCTTCTTTGTCGTGCATTATGTCGTTGGAAAGCTCATGATCTCTAGACTCCAATTAAATAAACTAATTTTATACTTAAGCAAATGAGTAATCGATGAGCAACGTTTCAATCTGAAAATCGAATGCTTAGAAAATGAAAATTGCCATACAAACTATTCCCGTAAATAGTAATTATTTTTGTCACTCATTAGCAAACGCTATGCAATGTTTGCTATCAGGTTAAAACTAAGTTTTGTCGTATTCCTTTGTTATTTTTATTCATTAAAATTTTATTTTCTGGTCTTTCTAATCGTATATTCTGGCATTCGAAAGGGTGTGATTTCAAAATTAGACAAATGTAAACCATTTTACTCTTTGCAACTGCATAAATCTCCTTCATTATGTTGTCAACTACGTTTTGCCGCATTTTTTATTTTATTTATTTGCAGATTAAATTATTCTTTGGTATTTCTAACCATGTATTATATATAAGCTCGCGATCTCGAGATTCCAAATATATTAAGCATTTTATTTTTTGTAACTGTATGAAACTTCCTTTTACTGTAAAATGAACGCTTCAAAACTCAAGTCGCCAACGTCTCTTGCATGAGTTCCTTGGTTCATTCTGCCACCGAAGTGGCACAAAACTATTTAGGACACTTAGCCGCAACGCAGTTGATCTACAAACTACAGAAAGATGGTACAAAAGTTTTCGTGAAGGCGACCCCAACAGTCAAAATCGACCGCAACAGCTCCATCGACGCTGCGTCAAGACAACGCTCGTTCCCATATTGATCGCCTGACATTGGAAAAGATCGAAGAATCACGTTGGGAACGTCTAGTTCATCCGCCGTATAGTCCAAATGCTGCTCCAAGTGGCTACCATCTTTTCAGGTCTCTGCAACGTTCCTTGGCAAGAAAACGCTTTGCCAAAGTCGATGTTGTGATAAAGCACCTGTATTCACTCTAAAGCATAGGGAATCTTTATACAGTTACAGAAAACAGAACGGCTTAGATATTCAAAATCTCGAGATCACGAGCGACATCAAACAGGACAAAATAGGCCATGAAATAAATTCATTATAAGTAGATAGAGGGTGCGAGAAAAGTGCGACAGAACTTAGTTTCCAACCTGATAGCTTGATCTCCTTGAGAAAAGGAAAAAGTAAGGAAAGAATTATCGGAAATACTACAAGCCTAATGATTTGATCTTCTTGACTGGATAGGAAACAAAATGAAAATAATGACTGTCTACTGTCTAGTAACATGATATTCCTAAAGCAGATGAAAATTAAGAGGGTTATTAGGTTACTGACCTGATCTTCTTGGAAAAGATAGAAGATTGAAAAACAAAGAAGAAACCGATACCTCTTGTTCCTGGTTGTGATCGGCTGTTACCAGCTGAGAATGAGGATCATGCATTTGGTTTTTAGTACTGCTGAAACTCGTTCAGCACCAAGTTTTTCCTCTGAAAGAAAAAGGGTCCGAACGAATGAAAGTAATAGTAATGATAAGATAAAATACGAGAACCATTGAGGCGATCACGATCAAAGCAATGCCGGAATAATGGTCGAAGTTCAGTAGATTTCAGGGAATTGAGTGGTAAACAAGAATTGGACCTCAGGCGGGAAGCGAACTCGCGTTTCATCCTGATGGGGGACGCGTGCTACCACTACACAATCCAAGCCACCGCTCTTCATCCATATATACGCATATTCGATATAATTCTTATGACTCGAAAAACAATTGAAACGATGGGTACATATCACAAACTGCCTTTTCTTCGACTTATAAGCCTCTTAGGATTAGAAGGGCTTTAAAAGGACAAATCGTGGGATGGTTTATTCTTCATTAATGAGGGTCACCGCTTTTGGCTCTAAACGATGGCCATTGGAGTAAGTGCAGGAAAAAGTGCCCGAGTATTTCAATCCTTTGCAAGGAAAAAGTAGTTAATCCATCCTTAAGACCTGTAGACCGCAAAAACGAAGCAATAGCTTGAGAAAACTTGCAACAACCGACTTGAAAGTGGCGAGTAAACAAGCAAACAAGTAAACAGAAACGCTAGCAAGTAAACAAACAAAACAAACAAACAAACGTAATGCGAAGAACGTGAAGACAGCTGTGAAACATCGCGGCAACACACTGGGTACTGTATGAGCGTCTTTTGCACGAGTGCAGAAGAAATTGTCTCAGAGCGCGCTTCGATACAAATGTGGTAGTCGTTTGAGAACCTTACTTGATTTTTTTTATTTTATTTTTTTTCATATTCTTATTCAAATTTATTGGCTGTTTTCAGAACTTCTTCGACTAGTATCGCTATAGTACTCTACAGATAATTCGTGACTGTTAGCAGCATGCAATTCATAACAATTTTTCATACAATAGTCAAATATAATTTTTGAAAAAGAATTTACAATGTATAAATTGTAACGCAGGTCATAAATTACATTTCTGGCAGTTAAATGATTGTCTTATTACTTAACAGGAAACATGGGGGTCATTCCCATAACCGACAGGCTCACTAAGTCTCTCTATTGATAATCTTTCTCTTACTGTTGACCTCGCTCCCCAGTGGCAATAAATATCTCAATCTGAACGGGCTCGAGTAGTGCTACGGATTAGAGCACGAGCTCCCCGATAGAGTGGAATGCGGGTTCGAGTCTCACCTGACGTGAAGTTCTTGCACATCACTCCTCATCAGTGGGTAAATCTCAGTGCATCGTGGTGCCCAGGGTGAAAACTTCGGCTCTTTTGCTATTAGAAGAATGCAATGTTGTCCAAGATACTAACGATGATTGCTTCAGTAAAATCGTCGGTCATGTTAAAAAGCCTCTCTTACCAAAACCAAAATACCTATCCTTCCCAAAAAAAAGTAAGCATCCATAAGACTTGTAGACCGCAAAAACGTAAGCAATAGCTTGAGATAACTGAAACAACCGCTTTGAAATTGGCGAGTAAACAAGCAAACAAATAAACAGGAGCGCAAACAAACAAGCAAACAAACAAATAAATAAACAAACAAACAAACGTAATGTGAAGATCGTAAAGACGGCTGTGAAGCAGCGGGACAACACGTTGGGTACTGTATGAGCGCCTTTTGCATAAGTGTAGAAAAATTGTATTAGAGCGCGCTTCGATACAAATCTGGTAGTCATTTGAGAAACCAAATGATCTTTCTTATTCTTATCCAGATTTATTGGCTGTTCCTAAAATTTCGTAGACTAGTAGCTTACTATATTCGTTAGATCGTAACAATTTTTCATAGCAATAGTCAAATATAATTTTTGAAAAAGATTTACAATGTATAAATTGTAACGTAGGTCATAAATTAGATTTCTGGCAATTAAATGATTGTCTTATTACTTAACAGGAAACATGGGGGTCATTCCTATTGCTGACAGGCTCACTGTAGTTTCTCCACTGCTGACCTATCTCTTACCGAAGACCTCGCTCCTCAGTGGCAACAAATATCTCAATCTGAACGGGCTCGAGAAGTGCTACGGATTAGAGCACGCGCTCCCCGATAGAGTGGAATGCGGGTTCGAGTCTCACCTGACGTGAAGTTCTTGTACGTCACTCCTCATCACTGGGTAAATCTTAGTGCAATTAGAAAACTACAATACTGCGATGATACGCGTCCAGCCGCTGGTTGCCCGCGCCGCGTGTCAGGCGAAAAATCATCGTGGTGCCTAGGGTGAAAACTTCGGCTCTTTCTGCTATTAGAAGAATGCAATGCTGTCCAAGTACTAACGATGATTGCTTCAGTAAAATCGTCGGTCATGTTAAAAAGCTTTCTTCCCAAAACCAAAAAACCTATCCTTCCCAAAAAAAAGTTAATCCATCCATAAGACTTGTAGACCGCAAAAACGTAAGCAATAGCTTGAGATAACTGAAACAACCGCTTTGAAATTGGCGAGTAAACAAGCAAACAAATAAACAGGAGCGCAAACAAACAAGCAAACAAACAAATAAATAAACAAACAAACAAACGTAATGTGAAGATCGTAAAGACGGCTGTGAAGCAGCGGGACAACACGTTGGGTACTGTATGAGCGCCTTTTGCATAAGTGTAGAAAAATTGTATTAGAGCGCGCTTCGATACAAATCTGGTAGTCATTTGAGAAACCAAATGATCTTTCTTATTCTTATCCAGATTTATTGGCTGTTCCTAAAATTTCGTAGACTAGTAGCTTACTATATTCGTTAGATCGTAACAATTTTTCATAGCAATAGTCAAATATAATTTTTGAAAAAGATTTACAATGTATAAATTGTAACGTAGGTCATAAATTAGATTTCTGGCAATTAAATGATTGTCTTATTACTTAACAGGAAACATGGGGGTCATTCCTATTGCTGACAGGCTCACTGTAGTTTCTCCACTGCTGACCTATCTCTTACCGAAGACCTCGCTCCTCAGTGGCAACAAATATCTCAATCTGAACGGGCTCGAGAAGTGCTACGGATTAGAGCACGCGCTCCCCGATAGAGTGGAATACGGGTTCGAGTCTCAGCTGACGTGAAGTTCTTGCACAGTCACTCCTCATCACTGGGTAAATCTTAGTGCAATTAGAAAACCACAATATTGCGATGATAACGCGTCCAGCCGCTGGTTGACCGCGCCGCGTGTCAGGCGAAAAATCATCGTGGTGCCTAGGGTGAAAACTTCGGCTCTTTTTGCTACTAGAAGAATGCGATGCTGCCAAATACTAACGATGATTGCTTCAGTAAAATCGTCGGTCATGTTAAAAACCTCTCTTTCCACCTAGTAGGACAAAGAATGATCAAATTCGATTTGAAAAAATGGAATAAAGGAATAAAGAAAAAGTGGAATAAAGAACAGCAACCATCGCAGCCGGTTTTCAGCAAACCACAACGGATAAAGACGACGTGGCTGAATGAATTCATATGATAAGACGGCGAAATAGAGAACTTGTCGAGTCGTATGAAGTCAATACGTGCGACCATGGCAGCAGGGGAAACGTTGACAGAACTCCTCAAAATGAAGCCGGGTTTTCGCAAGATGAATGCAAAATAAGAATTTGAGATCCTTTCGTAATTTGGCTTAAACCCGCTTTTCCTTTAATTTCCGCGCCACGGGGGAGCCGTTGCCGAGTAGTTGTGATGCGCCGCGGTGCGAGTGTGAGCAAAGTCCACTCCCTACACTCCCGGCGGCCAACAGCGAACACTCTATGGAATGCCACAGCCTGGCTATCCTCGAGTCAGCGACAAGGAGCGCTCAGTCAGTATTCTACGACGTTCAACAGGAAGATAAAAAACGGTTGGAATGCTAGAGGTATTGGAATCAGTGAAAAGAAAAAACACTGTGAAGACGGATACTGAAGTGCCCAAAAAGTTTTCTCTAGCTTTTTTCAGGCTATTTATTTAGTTTTTCCACTTGAATTTAGTGAACAATTTGAATTTAAAGATTAGAAGATGAACACAAATGGTAAATAACAGTCCTTAAGCCGCTACAAGCTCTCCATTTGAGATCGAGTGGTACGACACAGTCCGTCCGATAAAGCCACACGACACAGCCATAGTTACTCTAAAGCGACAGCTATCCGCTAAAAAACCTTTGAGAAAGACAAATACTAGCTGCTTGATGAGTACGAAGTCACGCAAATTTCGAAGTTTTCAAGCATTTATCTTCTTTTTCAAGTATCAGTTAATGAGAAGAAAGAAAAAGATTTCCCACAAAAGCAGCAGACATGTGAGCATTATCTGAAATTCTATGACATCGAACACAATCCGGGAACGAAGTTGACTGAATTTTCCGGATATTTCCGGACAAAGTTCGCCATAATAAAAACGGTTTGAGCTATCTCATGAACAAAAACGTGGTATGCGCCAGATCCGGAAGTTGATGAACTCGGAAAGCACTTGGCTATCTCTTGGCGGCAAAGGTGGAGAGCTTGTAGTAATTCATCATCAGGTGGATTGAAAAAACGGAGAGATATCTTCAGAATGATTTTCTTTATCGACCATTCTCTGAGATGGAATATAATGGCCAGTATTGAAAACTAAGCGGAGAGTAGGTCAAAACGACAGATGAAGCAGTTGGCTTGCAACAATCACTAATCTGTCAACTTAAGAATGATCAACCAACCTGTCCCGTCTTATACACACTTATTGAAAAACACGAACTCGTCTCTCGTGATGATCTTGCATCTACAAGTGATACTTAAACTGCAAAGCTACATCGGTCATCAGCTGTGTTGATGGGGCAGCGGGTAGGATAGGATAGTTTCTGAGCCTCGTAACGGACCGTAATTACAAAAATGTAGGCTACATTGAGCAGGGTCAATACTGTAGTTTCGATAAGGTTCAGTTTCTGCTGACAAGTGTAAACCGCCTAAAAGTTATGTGTTAATTCTCAAAATTTGTTACGTTTTTACTGCCTTTTTGCTCTGCTATGATCTCTCAAATACACCTCTAAGAGAAGTGAGTGGTAACCAAAAACTTGGCCTCAGACCGGAGTTCAACTCGTGTTTCACCCATACCGTGGGCGCTTGCTACCACTACACCACAGAGGCCACCGCTCTGCCACCACTCTTTTTCCTACATATCTATCATAGCTATCTGCCATAAACTTTTGACAGGTTTGGTCGGGTAAACATGTATCGCTTTAAAAATTTAATCAAGCTGACAGCCATCGTACTTATATGAGTCTTGAAATTTCTATGTT